ACACGATTGTATAAATCAAATAGATAACAAATGCATTCCTGAAACCTATTGAAAGAAGAGTGATGCTATTTTTCTTCTGTTCATGTGATTTTTTTATTACATATCCAAACATCAAACCACTCATTTCTTACCTAAATCCTATTTGAGGAAGACTTAATTTTTTATTTAATTAATTTTTAATTTTAATTATGTGTCTGCATGTGGATACATGGGGGTATGTGCACATGCGTGCAGGTGCTTTAGTTCAGAAGAGTGTGTAAAACCTCTGGGAGTTGGAGTTCAGGTAGTTTTGAATTATCCAGTGTGGGTTCTAGGGCCTGAACTTGAATCCTCTGTAACACCAGTATGCACTCCTGATATTCCTGAGCTATCTCTCCTGCCCCAAATGGATTATTTTTAATATGTGAATAAAATTCATTCCAATACATATATGCACATGCACACATATAATCTCCAAATGTACCTGTGGGTTTTAATTTATAGAGGTCACTGGTGACATGAAGTTGATGCTATTTTCAGATTATTGTTAGTTATATACTAAGAGGTGAGGGCACACCACTCCATGTAGAAACACATGTAGAAAGGTTGAGTTTATTTATTTATTTATTTGTTTATTTGGTTTATCGAGAAGGGTTTATCTCTGTAGCTTTGGTGCCTCTCCCGGAACTAGCTCTTGTAGACCAGGCTGGCCTCGAACTCCCAGAGATCCGCCTGCCTCTGCCTCCTGAGTGCTGGGATTAAAGGCAAGTACCACCTCTGCACATTAATGGTTCAGAGTCTTTAATTGTGCTTTACCTGAAAAATGCAAGACTGGGTGGTGGAAATAGTCTGCAGCTAGCAAATTTGAACATAGGGGCTCTGGACAGTTGGTGTGCCCTATCTAGCCATAGCAGTTATTGCTTCCTGGAATGTAAGGGCCTGCTGAAGAAGGTGCTTCAGAGTTTGGGTTATGGTTTGGTAGTTGATACCAGAGATATGCTCATGAGCAACCCTTTACTTTGAAAATTCACTAGCTCTGAGAGGAGCAATCTTCTTAGAACATCAGATATACAGAAAGTAAGAAAATAGAGTTCATTAACTCTTGGTCCGGGGATGGACTGATGGCATATAGATGTTGACTATAAGGAAATGCAGTTATCTGTTCTTAGCCCTGTTTTTAGGTTTTAGTTTTTTGTTGGTTTTTTTGTTTTGTTTTGTTTTGGTTTTTTTATTGGTTTGTTTTTTGTGATCTCACAAAAAGCTAGGTGTTATCCTGCCCCTTGCTTTCTGATATATTTGTGTATGTCTGGGCTGGAAAGAGGCTTGGTGGTTTAGATCGCTGGCTGTTCTTCACAGATTTCCACACCCACAGGCAGCTCACAGCTGCCTATAATTTCAGCTCCAAGGACATCGGGGCACCAAGCACACTCTAGGTACACAGACATTCCATTCAGACAAACACCCATAAACACAAACTAAAAAACAAATCTAAGAAAAATAGAGAGGGCTGAAGACAAGGCTCGGTCAGTAAAGTGCCTGCTTCAGGTAATATTCAGAAACAGAAACCAGAGCTAAAACATGTAAAGTCAAGTTGATAGGGTGCAAAATCAGAAATGTAATCTACAAATAAAAGGCAAATTATAGTACAGCACCCGAGTCTAAACTTTATAAGTAATGTCTAGAATAAAGACGTACTGCAGTGTAAGATTGATTTTTAAGAACAGAAAGCAGGTAACCAAAAATAGGTGAATCCAGAGTATGTAGCCAGAAGTAGGTCAAAGTCAAGTTTATGTACTCGAGTGAACAAAAGAAACAGAGCTGCACAGGATAGGAGCTCATACAGAACTCCTCTCCGAGAAAGCTGGGTGGCTTTTGTTGTTTCTATTCTTGGCGTCTCGGTGAGAAGTGGCCTTAGTCCTATCAAAGCACTCCTGATATATTGTGGGGAAAACCACATATTTTTGCGACAGGGTTTCCCTATATAGTTCTTTTTGGCCTGGGACTCAACGCCGTAGGCCAGGCTAGCCCTGAACACACAGAGATCTGCCTGCCAATATCTTTCCAGTGCTAGGCTGGCAACAAAGGTAGGCAGTTTCTGAAATTTTAATTGTATAATTTCTGAAATTTTAATTTATTGGGAGTGACTCATATATTCATGATATAAACATTTTCATGATATAAACATGTTTGAGCAGAGTTTTATTAGGTGTCTCTTTACTGGCAGTAGTACATAGGGTGGTGTCTTCTACACAGCAAGATCCTCAGGTGATGGTTTAAAATAATAAAACCATTTTAAAAATTAAGTTGAAATCTTAATTCTCAACTTCTGAAATATTATAGTATTAAAGTAAATTTTTGTGCTTGACCTCTTCATGCACTTAAAAGCATAAACATGGACAATTTTAAGTCCCAATAAGATATTAAGCCAAATTTTTTCCTCATTTGGTGTTCTGTAGATAAGTACAATTGGTTTTATCTTTAGTCTGAGCTCATAATAAAAATATCACACACTCCTCTGTTAAGCAGGTTTTGCCCTTTTTTTTTTTTAGATTTTATTTATTTATTATGTATACGATGTTCTGCCTGCATATCTGCCTGCAGGCCAGCAGAGGGAACCGTATTTCATCATAGACAGTTGTGAGCCACCATGTGGTTGCTGGGAATTGAACTCAGGACCCCTGGAAGAGCAGACAATGCTCTTAACCCCTAAGCCATCTCTCCAGCCCAGGTTTTGCATTTTTAATTAGTATAAATATGAGTAAATTAAGCCCATAACAGATTTCTGCTCAGTTACAGAACCATGAGTAAATGGTCTAAAAGTTAAAAGAACAGGGGAAACCAGACGTGGTGGTGCATGCCTTTAATCCCACCCAGCACTAGGGAGGCAGAGGTAGGTTAAGGCCAGCCTCATCTACAGAGCAAGTTCCAGGACAGCCAGAGCTACACAGTGAAACAAAACACACACACACACACACACACACTAACAGGGAGTTTTGATCTCAGATTTCCAACACAACAGATCATAGCTATGAGCTGTTTGAAAAGAAGCGTTGGTTCTTGAACTGTTTTTCTTTAACGAAGAGCTATCTTGGGCAGTGGATAAGTAAACTCTTGTTTCAGAAAAAAAGGCAATAGATGCCTCTCCCCCCATACTTAATGATAGGTTAATTTCTATAAAAATGAAAAACTTTGGTTCAGTTAAAGATTATGACTAGAAAAAGTTAGTATAGTGACCTATTATCTAAGTTTTTCAGATAGTTACAGAGCCTCTTAGTGAAGCATGCCAGCAACATTTGCAGAGCTGCTCCTCGTTAATCACCACAGCCCAGGAGGCAGTTCAGCCAAATGGTGCCCAAAAAGTCTCACTAAATTCAATGTAGCCAACACTGGGTCGGTTGGAGCATTTTTATTCTCATAGAATAAATGAGGAGTGCAAAGGCCCATTTGTGCAATTTACAATGCCCATACTTGACTGCATCTTTTATCTTTAACCCTTAGAATTTTGTGAGGGGTACCTGTAGAATAAGTGCTAATTTTTTTTTTTTTGAGTTGAAACTAAAATAGACCGAAACTTACTTACTTAGGTGCCGAGTGTTGGTGAGTTAAAACATTTGCAAGGTTTCAGGTTTCGTAGGCTTCTTTCCCTGAGATTTTTTTGGCAGAAAATGTATTTTTAAGTATCTTTATGGGTTTTTGTTTTTCACTTTTAGGATGATTCAAATGTTTATATTTTATCTTACTTTAATCAACTAATGAGTATATTTTGTAGTTTAAGCATATTTATCCAGTCTTTTTCCCCCTCTGAACCAGTCGTGTGTATATTGTGAGGTGGGAATTGTTAAATGGTAGGAATATTGAAGCAGGGAAAGAATTTGACATATATGTGAAAACTGGAACTCACATCCCTGAGCTGCTTTGTGAACATTATTTTCATTATCTAAGGCTAATAATTAAGTGTTGGCAGTAGCTGTATATCAAGGTTTTGTTTTCTGTATGTATGTTGTTGCTTTCTCTGATTTGTGAAAGGAAGATAAAAATCCATTTAATTTGCATTAATTAGAAGGATAGACATAAAATACATTGGAAGTATATATTATTCCTATAAATGTTTTAAATTGATAATCTGATAGGATATAGTGTTGCACACCTTAAATCCCAGCACTTAGGAGACAGAGGCAGGCTGATCTGTGTGATTCAAGGCGAGCCTGGTCTACGTGGCAAGATCCAGGACAGCCAGGCTACAGTAGTGAGACTGTTTCATAAGACAGACAAAAATTTTATTGAAAGTACTGCTTACTGGGGAAATTTGGGATCGGTGACTAATACATTTGACCACACTTTGATAGTGTTGTAACATGTTGGTTCCATTCTCTGTGACTGAATACCCAATAGTAGGATTACTGGGTTACATTGTAGTTCTGTTTCTGATTCATTCTGAAACCTCCACCCCGTTTCCCCAAGTGAGTACCTTGCAGGACTCTCTGTTCTCCAGTCCTTGTAGCACTGGTCTTGTTGATAATAGCTACTTCAACAGGATTGAGGTAGTGTCTTGTAGCTCCAGTTCACACTTTCTTGCTATTTGTGATGCTGAGTGTGCTTTTTCATATGTGTGTTAGACATTTATTTGCATGTCCTTTGGGGGTGATGTTTATTTATTTGTTTTTGAGTCAGGGTTTCTCTGTGTAACAGCTCTGGCTGTCCTGAACTTTGTAGACCAGGCTGGCCTCAAACTCCCATATAAGTCCATAGCTCATTATTTTGTATTGCTCACTTCAGATGTATAGTGTACAAAATTCACAACCACCTTTTTTTTGTTTTTGTTTTTAGTGCCTTAGAACCTGTTCTGATGCGTTACAATGGAAGTTAATTTGTCTCTTAACATTTAGGGGGAAAGACCTTAACATTAATTTAATTAATATTACCTTTCTATTTTTAACTCTTAAATAAGGAACCCTTTGCCAACCAGAATGCTGGAAAGGAAATTTGAATTAGATAAACAGTGACATTTTTCTGTCCTGCAGACCTCCGTGAGTGAAAGCCTTCAGAGGGAAGCTGCTAAGAAGCAGGCCATGAAACAGGTAGGGGTGAAAGAGTTTTGGTATCTACTACTAGAAGGTAAACAACAAATGTGTGTGATGAAGTCATTTTATCTCTTAAAATGTGTAAAGTGTTTCCCAGTTTATACGATTGCAGACTTTCTTTATGAATTCTAAAGGAAGATAGAATTAGCTCTATATCACAGGCTGTAGATTAAGCCACCTTTGCTTCCCACTGACTCAGCAGCCATCTGGTAATGGGTTGTTAGGATTTGTTTCTTTATTAAATTTTGCTTGGAACTCACTTGTCAGAAGAAAAAAGTCTAGCCACAGCCAAAGTGATTTCACAATTACTTCGAATTCATCTGCCAAGAAGTGGGGAGTGGCCAGGTCCTGTGTAACAGTGAACCTATTGGGAGCACCCTAGTGACGGAAACACTTCTTCCTGTGCATTCAGTATCTTTTAAAGGTTTAAAACTTACCCATGCTTCTGACCGAGAAGGTACCAGTTGCTCTTTTTGTGGCACAACTAGATCTAAAATGTACTGATTTCTGCTTCTATAATAGCTAATCTCAGATTTGATGGTCCAAAGTATAATTCAGTGAGCGACATTGAGAGTGTGGCCCAGGTGCACCCGCTCAGCTGCCGCTGCTGTGCCTTCCCATCGGGATCCCTCTGCTTCCTTTGTTCCTTCCCACTTTTACCTCTTCTGCTTTAAATCCAAACCAGCTTACCATGAAGTTTGGTTGCATTTATCAAGTTGTCAAGAAAATAGGAACTAGGAAATGGATGATCCTTTAACGGTCCTTCTTCCTTGTCCTTATTTATTTGGACATGAATTATACAGAACTGATGGTGACTTTTTGTATTATTACTATTAACAGCTTTTTCTAAATTTCTACAGAAACTTTGTTAGAGACAAATTAATTGGCTGGCTTTAGTTTTTATTATTTTTAATTATGTGTAATTATGGGTGTCTTTATGTGGATATATGCATATCCTTGGGTATTTACCACTAGCCAGGGCCATTGGATCCTCTAGAGCTGCCAAATGTAGGATCTGGGAACTAAGCTGGGGTCCTCTGCAAGAACAGTGTATGCCCTTGACCACTGGACCATCTGTCCAGCCCTTCCTTCCCCTAAGATTTTTAGATGAGTCCATGAATCTGTTGTTGATGCCCTGTCTGGTATTTCTGAAAGCTGCGTATTTACCTCAGAGCATTCCTGTTTTGGTTCTGTCTCCTGAGACAGGCTCTCACTCTGGAGCCCTGGCTGGCCTGGAGCTCACTGTAGCCTTCCCTGTTCTTGAGCTCCTGATCCTCGGCCTTCACCTCCCAGGTGCTGTGATTCCATGTGCCACCACGTCCAGATGCTTTGTTGTTGGTTTTGGAGATGGCTGTATATTATTTCTTAGATACATTTTTCTCTCTTTGGATTCTCACAGCTAGTTGTGGAGGGAGCAGCAGTTTAATGTGATTCATTTTCTGAATATTGAGAAATCCAGAATGTGGGATTCTTGGTATTTTTAACAATATTCCAGATCAAATGTATTCATTTATATGTGCATTATTCTAGACTGTGAAGGTTTAGTGTAGAAACCTAGGACAGACTGAGGCTGTAGCTCAGTGGTAGTGGATTTGTTTACCATGTACATGGCCTTGGGTTCAACCCTTAGCACTGCAAAGAAACCTGAAGATAACCAGGTAGATTGTTTTGAATAATCATATCACTTTTCCTTAAAAAGGACCACTCTTCATATCTGTATTAAACAAGTCAGTACAGCAGTTGAAGAAAAAATAAATATGTACAGCATATTTTATTGTTGAGCAGTAAAAAGGTGATAACATTAAACATAGGCATTCAGGGGCAGATCAAAGTACTGGCTGTTCTTGGAGAAGACCAAGGTTCAGGTCCAGCACCCTCATGGAGGCTCACAACCACAGGGTATTAGACTCCGTCTTCTGGTCTCCTAGGAACCATATAGTACACAGATATACATGCAGACAAAACACACATAAAATAAATCTCAAAAGAAAAACATTGAATACTGCAGTTTACATGTTTATCAGACTCAAAAGAAATACAGTGTTGGTAGTTAAATTTCTCAGAGATGGCCTCATTTAAGATGCAGGGGTCGTGGTAGCTCTGAAACTCATAGGTAAGTTTTTTTTTTTTAAGATTTATTTTATATGTATAAGTTTTTTGCCTGCTTGTATGTATATGTGCATGTATGTGCACCACTTGCATACCCGATGTTCTCAAGCCAGAAGAGAGCATCAGATCTTCTGAACTGGAGTTAATGTATGCTTATGAGCCAACATGTGGCATATGCTGGGAAATCGAACCCAGGTCCTCTGCAAGAGCAGCCAGTGCGCTTAACCCCTGAACCATCTTTCCAGCCTCTAGATAAGATTTTGATATGCTGTAAGAGGAAAGAACAAAGATAGGAACATGATAAAAGAGGAGGACATTATATGATTGTTAATGTAAAAATTAATAATAAATAATATGGCTCCCATTTAATGCTGTTTTGGATTTTTTTTTAGGAACTTTAATGTGTTTCCTATGATCATACTATTGAAAACTAAACAATTTATTAGGTAACCTAATTTATTAAACGTAACATCAAAATTAAGCCAGGGCTGCATGTTGCTCATTCGTGCCTTTGACTTTTTAAATTTTTGATGTGGATAATTATGTATAATTCAGAATGTCATAGCTTATTGTAAACACTTACTAGAAGGTAGATATAATAGTCATTTTTTTTTTAGGTGAGGTGAAATTAAAGCACACAAATTGCTCAAAGTAAGTGGAGCTAGGGTTCACCCAGGTGGTCTGCTGTAGAGTTTGTATTCGTATTTCCTGTCGTGAAATGTGATTGGTACGGTTTTTAAGATATATCTCTAACATATGAGCCTTTGTGAAAAAGTAAGACTTTCAGTGGTATCTTTTGACTGGTGCATAGTTTTTAAACATCTGCTTCTTTTAAAGACCAAACTGGAGATTCAGAAAGCTCTTGCAGAAGATTCCACTGTGTATGAGTACGACAGCATTTATGATGAAATGCAGAAAAAAAAGGAAGAAAGTAATCCCAAATTGCTTTTGGGGAAAGATCGAAAGGTTAGTAGCTGAAATACAACTTTTGTTGGTCTTGACCTGTTTGTTTATTTGGTATTATTTTAAAATGACTTCAGTAAAAACTTAGGTATTAAAATGAATTTTTGATTCTAAACTATAGATTTAATGTTTAGAATCTAGATTCTAGCAGATGTCAAGTGAATTATCCAGTATTTTTGAATTTTTTTTTTACCTTGAAACCTTATAATTTTTTGAAAATTTTTCTATACTCATTCTGTATACTAGATTTATACTGCTCCTGGCTTGTATTCTGATTCATTCATTTGTTGAATTAAGACTATTATATAGCCAGGTGCAGTGGCACACCTTTTAGATCCCAGTACTTTAGAGCCAGGCATGGTGATAAGCCATTGGAGACTGAGGCAGGAAGGTCAGAAGATGAGAGCCATCCTCGGATATGTAGCAAGTTCGAGATCAGCTCGGACTGTGTCATACATTATCTTGGTAAAACAAACTAAAGAGAAAACCAGAAGTGGGGAAGCTGAGGCTGGGCAGGTCTCTCCAGCCATCACCTGCCTTGACCTGGGTATTAGACTGAGCTAGCCTTGAACTTGGTGTGACTCCCACAGGCAAGGGTTCCAAGTGTGCTACTGCTCCTTCTGCTACACTCGGGTTTTTAGTGGAAACCATCTCAGTAACAGTTTCACTAGCAATTTTATTCTGAGTTTTGAAAAGACAGATTACTTAGACTAAACATTTCTATATTAATGGGTGTAAATTTTTTCCTCTTTCTGAAATAATTTTATTTTTCCCTAGCCCAAATACATTCACAATTTGCTAAAAGCAGTGGAGATCAGGAAAAAGGAACAGGAAAAAAGAATGGAGAAGAAAATACAGAGAGAGCGAGAGATGGAAAAGGGAGAATTTGATGATAAAGAGGCGTTCGTGACATCTGCTTATAAAAAAAAACTTGAAGAGAGAGCTGAGGAGGAGGAAAGAGAGAAGAAGGCTGCTGCCCTGGAAGGTGAGGGAGGGAGGGGACAGGTTGCTGCTGTGACTGCAGGGCTGTGTCCATGTTGGTGGTAGAAGCAGGACTGCGCCTTTAAGTCACTGTTACTCCTGTTGGGCTTTTCATTTAGTCCTTATTTTATTACATTGTCTTAGATACTCGCAATGTAAAAACATTTACAAGGCATAACAACATTACATTTGCCAGAACATAAATAAACTTTAAACTCTAATAACATTCTGAGATGAGAAAATGTTTAACACCACTCAAGGAACATTAACTGGGCAGTTAGGAAAAGAATCATTAATAATCGGCAGCTAAGGAATATCTTAGCCTTGAATTGAGTACTTACCAGTAATTTAACTGGCAAATGCTCTCCAACTTCAAGTGAACGAAAACTGATCTGTGAAGTTGTATCTGGAGGCTCAGCAGGTAAAGGAGCTTGCCACCGAGCCTGAGTTTGATCCCTCGAACTTACACAGTGGCAGGAGAGAACCAACTACCGCAGGTGTGTGCATGGACAGAAGAATCAGTTAAGCACTAAGAGCGTACTCCTGACTCCTGGAGTAGAGGATGTGTGCACATCTCTGTATGATACGTGCTCTGCGTGTGTAAAGTGCAGCTGCACTGTGCTTCGCTGAATCCATATTCTCAGTTTGTCTTTGCTTTCCTTCCCAGCACGACTGGATGTGACCAAGCAGAAAGATCTCAGTGGATTTTATAGGCACCTGCTAAATCAAGCAGTTGGTGAAGAGGCAGTTCCTAAGTCCAGCTTCCGTGAAGCCAGGTAAGAGGTGGCAAGTGGAATGTTTACTAGAAAGATACCCTTGAGAGTCTGTGGTTATGCTATTTAGGAGTCATTGTAAACTATTGAGTGGACAGCTCAACCAACACAACCTAATTGAGTGAGTGAGTGGAGTTTACAGTTTCTTAACTTCAAAACCTAAAGATTTTGTTCAGCCTGGTTTTTATTCTACAACTCACAAAACAATTAGTAGTTTATATTAAAACATTTTAGTGTACAAAGTTTCTGTTTAAGTGCTCTTTGGGTCTTATGTATGGCCTTAAAGGAGAAACAAAACCAAAGTGTACTCTTTCTTAAAGGAAAAATATTTAAGACCCTGGTGCCTGAGAACAATTACTGCAAGAAGAGATTGGCATAGGGCTGGGTTGTACAGCATGTAATTGTGCGTGATCAGTAGATGGCATATAATACAAAAATGTTTTATTTTCTTAGCAGACCCCAGCCTCCATAGAGGTCCTATTCACAACTCAGAAAGTGAAACGACCCTGTCTGATATCAGCAGGAGCGACGTGTTGGGTATTCGAGTAACTTAAATCTGAAATTTTAATCTTAGTTACATTTCGGGAACTATGCTGCTATTTTTGGCTGATGACTGCCCTATCAGACAAATATCTATCTGTACAAATATCTATTTATAGATATTACCATTTTTGTAGACAGTTCCATTATGCATCTCTGATCTGGAAAAGTAAAGGATTAGAAGACTTTAAATAAAATTTTAAGCTGTTATAGAATTAGTAAGTAATGATATCATGTGTACAGACTAGCTATGAATGTAAAAGGGAGAATCTGAGAAGACACATGGATGTTTTAGAACACGTGACTGACATGCTTCACTGCTGGACGGGATATTTCACTACATCAGTCCTCCAGCACTAGGAACAACAGTCACGTGTGAGTGTTATCACCGAGTTGATCACGCAGCTGGCAAGTGCAGGTGGTGTGATAATTTCAGGATTGCTGATGGCAGCAGCCAGGAAGACTGAGCAGTTTCTTTCCTGTTGTGGTGGGCACTGAGACACTGTATCAGGTCAATGATGCCTTTCTAGTCTTAGGACAGTTTAAATAGTAATGTTTAGAATTAGATTTGGTACTGTTTTCTGTGGGAAATTATCCTCGTGTGTTTAAGTTTCTAGTACTTCTCAGAACAAAATGAAAAAATCTAATAGTCACAGCTTGAACTTTATGTTGTGAAAATAGAACTTAGATCCATGGCAAACCTTACTTTTCCCAATTATTCTTTGTCTAGAACTAGAAAGAAAAATGAGACCTATACAGACTCTTTCCTGAAGGTTCTGGGGACCAAGAGAGGAGGACTGTGTTCTTTGTTTTATGTCTGTCAATACTAAAATTCCCCCAGCTGTTTGAAAGTCCTAATTTAAAAGACAAATAGGCATCAGTCTTGTGCATCAGACAGTAAATATGATTTAGTTGTTGTGAGTTTTGTGAAGATTTACATGAGCGTTCCTTTGCTTTCTACAACTAAGAAAGTAGCATTTTGTATTTATATGATGTTTTTAAATTTTATTTTAGGACTGGAATAAAAGAAGAGAAGCCCAGGGGTTACTCTGATGAAATAAATTCAGAGGACAGACCACAGCAGAACTGTGCTCTTCAGACTGGTGAAGAGGAGGCAAACCCAGATGCTGACAGCGATTTTGACACTAAGAGCAGCGATGACGATGAAAGGGGAGGAAATAAAGTAAACTACAGACGGGAAGAAGACCCAGAAGCCTCCAAGAAACACCCCAAGCATCACAAGAATCATACCCACTCACGATCATCTAGTGAAGAGAGAGGGCATAGTACCAAGTACCACTCCAGAAGCCCCAAGTCAAGAGGGCATCACCAAGACAGGCAGGCCAGAGAGCAGGAGAGCCGGCACACGGACCACGGCCACCGCAAAGAAAAGAGTTCCCACAGGCACAGAGAAGCCGATCACAAAGATGACTACTGCAAGAGGCATGAGCACGAAGATAAAGTGAGGAGACGAGAACAGCGAGAGAGAGAGGACAGAGAGTGGAAAAGGGAGACACACTCCTCTAGAGAACTAGATAGAGACAGACACCGTCATGACCAGGACCGATACAGTGAGAAAGGAAGAAAGGAGAGATATGAGAGCAACGGTAGGCACAGAGAGATGGAGAAACAGGAACGAAGTCGAGACAGAAGGGAAAGCAGCCCAAAGTCTAGACCAAAGGACGAATTTGTTGACCAGGAAAAATCCAGCAGAATAAGAAATGTGGAAAAGGACAAAGGGGATCAAGAGAAGCCCTCTCGTTCTGAAACCTCACCAACAGCAAAGCACAGACTGGCAGAGGAGAGGCCCCCTGAGGCCCTGAGCAAGTTTGCAAAGCGGAGCAGTGAGGAGACTGTGCTGTCAGCTAGAGACAGGTACTTGGCCAGGCAGATGGCGCGGATTAATGCAAAGACTTACATTGAGAAAGAAGATGACTAATGGCTGCCAGGGTCTGGAGTTCCTGAGCATAGAACATTGTGACCCCCTGGAACTTGCTTTAAGAAAGCAAACAAGTATGTGAACAGTGACTGGAGGGGTTTTGTTTTTTTTGTTTTGTTTTGTTTTTTTGTTTTTTCTGGAGGGTATTTTTTAAGGTATATTTTCAAAATTTGTGAAGTCAGAAGTCCGTTCTTTCAGGTTCAGTGCACAGCTGGATTTGTGAGGTATTTCCTAGTCTGTAACACTTTGTTGATTGTACTCAAGAATCATACAGTGTTAAATCTTCCAGTAGATCCGTTGTGAGGAAAATTGGCTTCTTTAAAACCATTAAAATAAGTCTTTAATAATGTTGCTTTTGAGATTTTTCTTTTGGTTTTGTGTTAACTATTCATTTTACATGAACGGGTGTTTTGCCTTCTTGTAAGAAGTGCACCAAGTGAGTGCCCAGTACCCACAGAGAAGGCCAGAAGAAAGCATTGGATCCCCTGGAAACTGAAGTTACAGGTGGTTGTGAGCCACCATGTGAGTTCTGGGAATCAAACCTGGATCCTCTGTAAGATCAACGAGCACTCTGAAACACTGAGCCGTCTCTCCAGCTTCAAATTTTTAAATTTTATTTTGTTCTGCTTTTAAGGGGCTGAATTTTTCAGGGGGTGAGGTGGGATGGGATGGGGTGGAGAGGGGAGGGGCTGTGTTGTTACTGGGACAAAGGCCTGCTTGTTACCCATGCTTCTGGAACACCAGTGCTCAGGTGATTCTCCTGTCTCAGCCTCCTGAGTGCTAGAACTGCAGGCACATAACTGACCCATTCCCAGTGTGTCATGTTTCTCGTTGCAGAAAATATTTTGTGAATACTGTCTTTCAAGTTAAAATACATAAATTTTAGAAGTAAAAAAAATGGTATATGTTCTGAAATTTGTGTTAAAGCATAGATAATGCATGTTGTCTAAATAGCGTTTTGATCCACAGTATACTTGACTTAAAGAAAGTGATGTGCTCCTGCATTTGATCCACCTTTTACTTGTCAACGTAATTACCAGGTTAGGGACAAGGCTTAGTAGTAGAGCTCTTGCCTGACATGCACAAGGCCCTGGGACTGACGGCCAGGATTGAAAAAGGCAGGAATTTCATTCATGTTTAAACCTTGTTGTTTAGAAGATATCATTTTATTTTGTAATTTTGTATTTTGCAAATTACTAAATTGGTCTGTAAGTCTGTCGGCTGAGAGTGAGAAGATAAAGCCCCGTTTCTCCATTCAAATAAAACCACACTTTCTGAACTAAGACCCTGAAACCTGACCGTGGCCTTTGCGTGCTATGAGTTTATCCGTGGGTACAGAAAGGATGACCACTAGGGAAGATGTTCCCTGGCAAGTTTTCCCATGCCAGGAAGTCCATTTATTTCGTGGTACTTCATCGTGAAGAGTTTACTGTTTCAGAAGGACAAACTTGGTCTAGTGGCAGGTTTACTTAGATGAAAAACTATTGTATATTGAGAGACATACATATAATAAATAATATTTATTATTTTACCATATTCTTAGGTCCTAAAAAGTGAATGTCTAGATCCCTGACTGACCTAGTGAATGAGTTCTTGTAGATTCTTGGCAAGCCCTAAAAAGCCCCAATTTACACAGGGGAAGCAGCCTAAGTGGAAAGATGAGACCTTAGGGGAGCAGGAGTGATCACAAACTTTGAGTCTCCAGAGGACATGATTCCTTCCTTAGGATTAGTCCCTGTGCTTGGAAAAGTTAATTTAGTTATGGTGTGCAAGATAGTCTAAGGAGGGAGAGATCATATCAGAGAGATCAGATAGTTTCCCTCTCCCAGAAGTTCAAATACTTCCATAAAGCACATTGGCTACTCCGAATAGGAAAAGACACCAATTAATTATGATACACAGGTTTTCCCCAGATAAGCAGTTCTCATCTCTGTCCTTCATTCTCCTTTTCTGGGAACAGTATCCCGATTTTCCCTTGGGACGCACCCAGCATCTTTTAATTTTGTTTTCTGTGTTTGTTCGTGTTCTGTATACTGTGTGTATGAGAGTACCCGTGGAGGCCAAGAGGGTGTTGGACCCCTGAAGCTGAGCCACAGGCTGTGGGTGCTGGAGATCAGCCTCTGCAAGAGCTGCAAGCACACTCAACCACTGGGGCCATCCCTCCAGCCACCTTTTCCTTCTTGAGCCTGAGCTTCAGAGGGGACAGAGTGGTCTCAAGGGTGTGACTCAAGCAGACAGATCTGAAATTAGATGTTCTCTGCTAGCATTGCAGCCTTGAAAATGGGACAAGCCTGAAATTCCATGGCCGAGTGCCCAGCTGCCTGCAGCCCACTGGGGCCAAAGCAATGGTGGGAGGTGGGAAGGTCCCCACCTGGTGGCTTTTCAGTCTCTTGGTCTGGGGTAGGAGCTAGTCATTTGTTTTGTAAAATATTTAGGCCAGCACTTTTTCTCTTAGTTTGAATTAGACGTCTTCCTGTACAACCAGAAAAGACCTGTTTGACACATTATTTCATTTACAATAATCCCTTGCTAAAACTTAGCTGGAACACTTCTTTTAAGGACGGCTCTCAAACCCTGAGTGGCCTGGAGCTTCTGTGTAGACCAGGGTAGCCTTAAACTCTCAAAGATCCATCTAGCTCTGCTGGAAATAAAGGCATGTGCCACCACACCCTACTATTGGAACACAGACTTTTATTATAACATGTATGGTATGCATGTACAACTTAGCAGATTTACAGAAAATAGATAATCGAGAAAGAACATGGCCTGTTCCGTAGACCTCCCTAGTGCATTCCCTCTGGCTCTGACACCAGGTCAGGTTTGCTGATTTGCTGGTATCCATGCATCCTTGGAGGGTCCTGGCTGACTTCTCATTTGCACCTACAAAGGGAATCAGTGGGGTGATTCCCAGGAGTGGCGGTGCTGGTCGACATAAGGTGTGCAACACTCAGTATTAGGAGGTAATACCAAAGTGACTGTATTAAAATCCATTCCCAGGCTTGGGAAATCACTTAGTGATGGAGCTGTTGTCTAGCATGCTTGGACTCTAGTACCACAAAATGAGCAGAGTATTCTTTCCATCAGTGGAGATTTCTAACACTAACAGATGCGTAGCTCATTTTTGTAGGGGGATATTCTTATATTTATTTCTGAAAAAGCACGAGTGAAGGTCGGAAGACAGTTTTCAGAAGACCACTGCCCCCTTCCACTAGGGATCCTAAGGACAGACTCGTGTCAAGATCAGTGGCAAGTGCCTTTATCTGCAGGCCAGTTCCTCACCAGCCGAGTGTTTGCCTTGTGTTCCTAGTAGTCCTCATGGCTCACTGCGATGCTGAGATTACACACATGCACTGCTACCCCCGGCAAAGGCTCCTTGTGGACGGTTCCTTCTGCCTCCCTGTGTCGCGTCCACCCTCGACCCGCAAGGAAAAAACGCAACACCCGGAGCTCTTCTTGCAGCAGTTTTCAGGACTTTATTCACTTTCTCTCTCTTCTTTCTCTCCTCTCTCTCCTTTTTACTCTTTGACCTCTCTCTACGGGCAAACCTCTCCCAGCCCTAAAGTAGGCATGGGCTGTCAACCCCGAACTGCCAGGTGGGCACTGCCCATAGGTTCACGCATATGCAGGCAGCTGATAATCATTGCGTGATCATAGCATAGGTCAGGCCTTAGCCATCTCAGGAGTTGATTATACATCTCCATCAGGTGTGACACCACGCAGCTCGCTACATCCCTGCCCTTAATGCCCGTTTAGGTTCTTCATATATTGTAAAAGTCTTTTGACTGTGGCTGTCTTCTACTCTCTTAGTGGGATCTATTGATGAACAGACATCTCTTAATTTTTATAAAGTTAATTAAAATTAACATCTACAGTTACACGAGATAATATTTCAAGTACTCAGTAGCCACATGTAGTTTGTGGTTGCCATGTGAAATGGAGTTTATTGGGCATTTCTGTTGCAGTTCAATACTAGACGTTGCTCTTCCAAAAACGTTGCCCACCTTAGGATCTACAGTACACCTGGAATTAATTTTCACATGCTGTGTAAGGGTTAAGGAGATTTTTTTCAGTAGTGTTGGGAATTGAACCTAGACCCTTCCATGTGCTAAGCGAGGGTACTATTATTAAGCTACATCCTAGGTCCAAGATTTTTTTTCCATGTATGGATAGCAGACTCAGCAGTGAATGTGTTGAAAGTTAGTCATCCAGGGAAGTTGGGGGAAGGAACCTGGAGGCAGGAGCCTGATGGGGGCGGGGGAGGGGTTTTGAGGAGTGCTGCTTCCTGGCTTGATCCTCATACACTCCCAGGAGTTGGTACCCTGAGGTGGTACCACTCACAATGGTTGGGGCCCTCCCACGTTATCCACCAAGAAAAGGACCACAGGCTTCCAAGAGGCCTATCTGGTGGGGCTTGGTTTCAACTGAAAAAAAAAAAAGTTCTAAAATGACTCTAGCTTGTGTCAAGTTGATATAAACTAGCCAGCACAGATATGTAGGAAAACTAAAAAACAAGGAAATGATGGTTGTTAATGTCAAGGCGCCATTTATATCCGGAGAAGTACCCATAGGACTTCTAGATGCAGGCAATGTTCTTTCTTAACTTGGGTAGAGATTTCACTGTCAACTTTCAACTATAAACATGTTTATATATTAAACTGTATGCATAATGTGTCCCACAAATATTTTTTTTCCACTTTTATTTATTTACTTTTCATTGGTTTAAATCCGGGATGGGTACAGCATCACACGGATTCTGTGTCCAATGGCTTTTGCAGGAAGGTTGCNGCAGCAGCAAGGGCAGTCAGAACTGGTAGCAGAGGGGCCAGCACAGAGAGGAAGGGGAGGCAATCTTGCTTTCCCCTCCCTGGCTTTCCTCTGCCTGCTCCTGTCATTAGGAGTGGTTTTGCCATGACCCCAGGAGCAGTCAGAAACCATTGCTCCTTCAGCAGTCCCCTAAACAACATACCCCAGATGCCATACCCCCGTGGCTCATTTATTTCTGTCAGCTGAGTGCATGGAAGACACCTTCTCCCTCGTGCACCTCTTTGGCTTCCCCAGCAACCCAGCTGATCCTGCTTCTGCTCTGAAAGGGCCCCCTCTTAAATTAGCTTATAGGGAATTTGGGCTTTGTCAATCTCTCTGGCTACTTCCTGCTGAGCAGGGACGTTGCATTCTTGCAGGATTTTACTACAATCTACTGCCATTTTCCAGCCCGTCTCGCTGGTTCCTGGGGCTGGGACAGAGGTTCAGGCCAACAGATCTTCTATGCCCTGAGGCATCCTTGCTGGAAGCAGCCTAGCGTTCTGGCCTTGTCGGTCCTCGAGGCAGGTCCCTGGGTTTGCAGGCTTTGC